GAGGGCACAAGCAGGGGGGTGGGGGACAATGGGGGGATAAGGACACATAGGTAATACCTTAATAAAGAAAAAATAATAAAGCATTTTAACACAGTATTCAAACAAATTTTTTTAAAAATCAGGTGCCTATACTTGTATATGAAAATTTCTGATACCAAGAATTAATCAGATGCAACCTTATTATGCAATGTGACCAATAAGATGCAGCTCTATTATATGACCTATATATTTATGGTTCAAGACAGGGCATTCACATTGGATGGCTATTGTACTGGCTGTTGTCACATTTTTATTTGACAATCTAAAGGAAGAGTTCAGTGCCCCTGACTAAATAGTCAGGTATTACATGTTTTAAAAAAATTCTTGCAGCACACTGGTTGAAAAATTGCTGCCTTAGTACGTTATTTTTAAAACCTTGTGCTCCTAACTACTACACACTATATTGCCCCTCTGGGATTATAATGATTAAGTGAGATGACATGTGAGGTCTCTGGTACATATGGAGCCAGGACTACACAGTGACCCCTGTGAGAATCACCTGTGGAGCTCTGGAAAAGTAAATGATTGAGCCCCATCTGCCATGATAGACTGATTTAGTAAGTCTGAGAGACTCCTTTGTTGATGGGCTCTGGATCAGGGATGGTTTTAGAATAATTAATTACGATGCACCAGACTATCCAAACGATGTATGCTGACTCTCTGTGCAGGTTGCATATCAGTATTGTCTGGGTCTAAAGTTTCTGCATCATGAAGAGAAGAAGAAAAGAATTCCTGGAGATGAAGATTTGGGGTGAGCAAGGTCAGGAGAAGAGGAAAGGAGGTCAATCATAAAGTAGGCAGAACAGGGATCCAGGAAGTTGATAAAGGAAAAGCAGCCCAAGTGGGTGGATTTGGCAAAGTTCTACCATAAACATGGCCACCATATAATTTATTGCCCAAACGGGGACACTTGGGAGTGATGAGGGCACCAATTATATTAGGACAACAGGGACAATAGCATGAACTGGAATGTCTTGAACAAACTAGGCAGTATGGTCATCCTAACCACAAAGACAATAATGGAGGTCTTGAAGGCCATTTGGGATCTGGATGTAACCCTCTTATCTCCAGCAACACTGAACACTCAGAAATGAGCCATCTGTCCCAACTAACACTTGTGAATGGACATCCCCTCCTCCATATTTCTCCATGCCCTTAAAAACCAAGAAAAGCAGGGTGAGGCCCTGGACAATCGGTGGTGTGATGAGAAAGCTTCTGTACTCGTACATGGAAGGTTTGAACTGAAGTGGCTCAAAGCATGCTGAATTGGGATTATGCCTAAAGACAGCTTGTGTACAAGCTGAAAATATATAGGAAATGAGCTTTTAAAGGATTAAAATGATTTGATGCATTTGAAATAGCTATCACTTATTGCTTGATAGCTGCTCTTACCTTACTAACAGGATTGGATTACTTGTTAGGAGAAATGATGAAATATTAGATCTAAATCCCTATATAAAAACCAAAGCTTTACATTCAGAGCTTTTGGGTCACTAATTCCAGGGCTCTTCTCTGTTTGCCATTGTCACTGCTCTAACAATAGAACTATGTCTTGGGAGCACATATGCATGGAATTGGAGAAGAGAGGCTTACCGGTTAGAAGAACAGGATCCTGAGCAGACATGAAGTTGTGTAATTCTTAATGTAATGATGATAAGTAGGTAATATTGTAATTACTTCCTGTGAGGAAAAAGGCAACATATTGGTCATTATAAAGATGAATAATTTGGGGACAAGAATTTAGTCAAAATAGGTTAGCTAGTACGTGGGACTTGAGAAGTAATCCCTGAGATGAAAGGAAAGAGATAACAGTGTACAGTCTTGATGAGCAGGAACATTTCTTGGTTGCATGGGAGACCATAGCCCTTAGAAAGTTGTCTGGTTTTGAAAAAGGAAAGCCACACAATGCCATCTGACTGACAATGAACTGTGCTTATGGTTCTGAAGCAAGTAAAATAATAAAAGGATTTATGTGTGGGATTGATTACTGACATTCAGATCTGGACGTAGAGGGGACACTAAAGTAAATATAAACAATATTCATTTCTAAAATAAAGTCTCAGTCCATTTTCTTATTCCAGAAGGATAATTATTGATTAAGTTTAGTGTATATATATTTGGTAGTAATAATCCCATTTAGAGATAATGATTTTGAGCAATTTTGCTATTTTAGTGTACTTTGTAGCATGTGTATATGGGAAATATCATAGCCAGATTTTTAAAAATTAAAAATATCTTCCTGCATTTCAAGGTACACAAATACCATCCAATAACTAAACAACTATATAATGGAGATGATTATTTTAGAATGATCTATAATTTGCTTTCATTTTTCAATGATGCTTATTATACAATAGTATGTTTTGGTGTAACATTTAAATTTTACTTTTCTTTTAGTTTACCTTTTTAAATATATGGCATTATGATTTCATATATGTTTATATGGGTTGGTTAGTATATAAACAGAAGTTGCTTTTTAATTCTCCAAATAAGAAATGATACAAATGGGATCCTATTTATTATTTAGATTACTATTAGTGCATAGAGTATGCAACTCTTTATAACTTCATCCATTGCTCCTTAGGCCATTATCCATTCATTACTCAATAATTTCTACAGCAGCCTTCCTACTTCTGCTGCTGGTCCACAACCGATGCTATTATTTCAGATAAGGAGCTAGGAAATATCACTAAA